TTGAGATAGTAGTCTTTGGTTTCAACAACAGTGCCTGGCATTTTTTTTTTTTAACTCAACCGAAAGTTACTCAGAACTTTTATGAGTGTACTGATCTCATTATGCTTCTTTATCAACAGTAGCCAAGGAGTGGAAATGAGTCACAACCACACCAATTCGACCTTGTCCTTTTATTACATTCTATTCTAATTTCTGTTCTGCATAAGGTTGTCATGCACACATCTACTGCTTGGGCTATTTGTTCTCTTGGTCACATCTTTTAGGGAACTTTTTTAAAGGAAGTACATGTATGAAATGATCACTGTAGTATATGTTTATGGATCTATAGGTACCCTCCCATCCGGAGCTGACTATTTATAGTGATAAAGAGAAATCTGACCAACAAAAGGTTATGCTATGCTTGAAGGGTTGGGCTGAACTTGAAATTATATAGCTGTTCTCACAGTAGATCTGTGTGCATGCAAATCAATATCTAGAATGATGGCATTAGCAAAGCCCCTCACTGGAAGAAGAGATATACTAAGGTAGAAATGGGGGAAAATGCAATTAACTGTGAGGCAGCCAAAATATGAGAAGGCCCAATCAGCAATAGGCAGTTACCTGGCGATGAATTAGGGGAACACTACATAGGCTATTCTCAACACCCAATTTACTTAAATGATGAACAAAATGTCTTTTATTGTGACATGGAGAAAAGGCTTTGATACTGCTAGGAATCCTGTGGAATGTTTAAAGAACCTGTACTCTGTACATATGCTTTCTCTTGCTCAGGTGAGTCTACCTGTGTGGAAAAGCAGAGATCTGCACGTTGTGAGGAATACAGCACAGAACGGCCATGCATAAAAAGATGATGGGCTGATTATGAAGAAACTATTCATGAGTTCCCTATGGAAACAAGGGATGGAATTAGGATGAAAAAGCAATCAATACATCTCTTAATCTGCAGAACTTGCCACAAATGTCAGGAACATAAACTTAGGAAACTGTAATATGGTGGGTGAGCTCTACCTCCTAGCAGCTTTGTACCCATAGCAAACTTTTTTGCAAGCTTATATCATCACAAATTTATTTGGTGCTTCCTCCCCTCTTAATCTTTCAAATGTCTTTTTACTGTTGAAAAAATATTCAAAAAAGAGGAACAGATCACGTTATGATTGTATATTGTATACTTCACTTTGCCACTAAAAAATGGAGATGAGCAATTTTACAGGTAGAATAATGAAGCAAGTTAGGAACACCATTATAAATGGGTAGAACTGTATCCAGCGGACTCAGGAGCAATACCAACTGTTATGCCTAAATACTGAATAAAAATGCGTTTTGCTTGCAACTAACAAGTATCCAAGAGGATATGAGCTTGATCTCCCCTCAGAGAGAATTCCAAAACCCGGGAGCAGCTACAGAGGTTTCCTTGGGTTCCAACCAAAACATACCTCCGATGGGAACATCTTCCTAAGCTCACAAGGCTAGGACTGGTTCATAAAGGCAAGTGCCAACTTTTAAAACACCTGTCGAAATGGCTAAAGACTTTTCAGCAATTACTCTCTTTTCAACCCTATGAAACACTTAACATTCATGAACCACACAGTTCTTTTAAATGCCTCCATTTTACGAAGAGGGTGAGAAAGGAATATGGATCAAGCCAGGAAAAAGAGGAAGAAATGGGATTCAGTGGGATGCTTTGAGGCCACCTCTGTTTTCCAGTCTTCTGTTCTAGTCCGCTTACACGCTGGGAGGAAGACTACAGAGACCACCAAACCTGCTTCCTTCAGGGTAGACAGTATGTTGCAATTACTTCTTGGCTCCACTCTGAAAGGGCAGCACTGAATTACAGCTTTTATTCTTTACACTTGCCAAGGCCAGAAGAAATATAAATAAGCATGCAGGCCCAGGAGTATCAAAGGCTGGTGTCAGGGCACAGATGGTAGATCTTTGGCTTCAAGGAAATAATTGACAACATTTGTGATTGAGACATGCCTAGGGCTCAACTAGAGTAACAGGCAAAGAGGAACATTGCACAATATTTGTTGGGGCTGCTGCCTAGCAGCGCTATCCAGCAATTACAAGAATTTCAAGATTCTGACCCCGTTCAGCTGTCAGTCGTACCCTGACACAAAGGAATGTTGTGTTGATTAACCACAGTGCTATAGATATGCTCACCTATTCACAAGAGATTTGCCTTGCCATTATTATAGAAGCCCCCATAAATCCAACAGGCTACTATATTATGTTCTGCATGCGGCTCATTTTAACAACATTTTTGAAGCTCAGTGGATTGAAGTGGTGCATTATTATTAATAACCAGGTGATACTCTGTGGTCAACCTTCTCTGGACTCAGAAGCTAAGCAGGGTCAGGCCTGGTTAGTACTTGGATGGGAGACTCCAGGAAATGCTGTAATGTTAGACTGGAAGGTTGAAAAGCCATGCCAGAAGAGGGCATTGGCAAATCAGTTCTGTGCTGCTCCCAAAAAATTTATGTAGGTATGTCCATGAAGTTGCTGGGAATTAAGCTTCACTTTAAAAGGCTTTAAGGCTTTTTTAAAAAGGCATAAAAAACCCCAACCTGAAAGCATAGTGTAACTTTGACAGCCTAGTTTTTAAAATTTAAAATGCTGTTACTATCTTTTAATCCTCATTTGTCCTGGGACAAGATCACCTCAGCCAATGCCTCTTCCATGACACATTTAAATCAGAAGAAAGACGGACACCTACAAGAAACACAGCCTTTTCTGAGATAGCAACTCATACAGAAATTTCTTCCATTGGTCTTCGTAGCTCCTCTGCGGCCTCCAGAAATTGATGATTTTTTTTTTAAACCAGGGTTTTTTCCCAGTCTTTCAGGGACTGTTATCTGCGGGGTTCTTGGAAGTATGCTATTTCAATTGCACCCTCCTCGTCTGAAAGTTTGCTCCAAGGCATTAGAATAGCTCCAACCTTGCTGGTCCATAAAAACATGGACATCTCCTCAAACCATGGGGCCCAGAATGCTATGATTACTCCCCCTGATGAGGAATGGAGTCCCCTGATTGTATGTTCCCACTTTTTTACATTTCTTTTTACTATGGATTTGTTCTATGGATTTGTTTATATTGCTAAGCTTAATTGTTTGTTTTTAAACTGAATTTATGAAAGTGGAAATTGTATGCCATTCAGAGTCAGAGTGTTATGGAGCAAAAGCTTTAATTGTTCCTTGTAGAACCTCTTCTCCAAGAAAGATCAGAGAGGATGGGAGCAAGTAGGATAAGAACCATGAGAAGAACAGAGGCTTAAAGATTTCCTCTTGCACATTAGTGCTGATCATGGCCTATAGCTTAGGTCCAAATTGCTTGCAGAATCATCAATAGAGTCTGTCCCCCTCTTAGAATTCAGCAAGACACCTTTTGTTGGGGAGGGGGTAATATACCATGGATATCTTTAGCATCAATAGTTAGCCCCACTGTTTCCATGGTAGGCTTTCTATTATGAACAATTTCTTGTTGAAAAGACTACAGTTAGAAGGGGATTGAAATATATCTTTTTAGCCTTCTTGTTTAGTGTTTTTAATGATTTTTCATTCTATTGTATTTTAGATATGGTTAACCATATAGAACTACAAAATGGAAATGGACAACATAAAAAAGGTTCAGTCAATGAAAAATTCTGGAATTATGATTTCAGGAAATAGCCTCCATAGACCTTTTATCATTCATTCATTCATTCATTCATTCATTCATTCATTCATTCATTCATTCATTCAATTTATATTGCCATCCATCTCACTACCATGACTCTAGGCTGTTTACAAAGTTAAAAATCCAGAAAACAGTACAAAATCAACCCCAAAATAACCACGAAAATCATTAAAAACAATAGTAGTAGAGCACCATTCATTTTCTTAAAATGAAAAAAAAATCATTCTTTTGTATGGATGGGGGCAGGGAGAACATCTCACACAAACTGGAGGTAGCAAGTGGCAAAAATTCAGAATATTCAAAGCACTGCAGGAAGATCAAAAAGCTGACATGTGTGACAGTTCCCCAGAGGCAACTGAAACATACAGTGCATTCCAAAGAATGTTCAAAGTACAGAAAGGTAGTCTTCCACAAAGCCATAAAGAGAGAGAGAGATTATGAGCTGATCAGGAGTTTCATTTGGGAAAATGTTTTAACAAAACACTGATGACCGACTGCAGAATGAGAAACTTCAGTATTATGATGTTAGAGATTTTGCACTAAACAATAAAGCTTGATCAATTAATACATAGTTCATAAACGGGCTTGTGCCTTTTTACCCTGCTCCTGTTGAAACAGGATAAAGAAATAAACTAGCAAGCAAAGCTAGATAGGCAGGGAACAAGAGGAAAAAAGAAAAGAAAAGAAAAGAAAAGAAAAGAAAAGAAAAGAAAAGAAAAGAAAAGAAAAAGAAATGACTAGATATGAGAAAATCAGCAAAGTCTATCCAAGAAAAAAAACCATGGATTACATCACAGATCAGAACACCACATAGAAACTAATATGTGTTAACAAAACTACACTGAAATCAATAAGGCGAAGTTCAGCAAAGAATGTTTACTTCTAGAAAGGAAGTTTTAAAGAATGGGAGATTCTTGGTGACAGATAGAAGGGATCTTTCTGCCCATTCTCCAACTGTTTTCCTTCCCCTCTTGACCTCTAATTCTTGGCCTTTGCTTTTCTTCTGGAGTATCCCCTTTTAAAATCATATGCCAACCCTACATCACTCCCTTTGACTGTCTTTTCAACCCCTATTTCAACTTTTCCAAGGCCTCTGCTTCTACTGACCCTCATTTGTCAGACTCCTCTAGCTACACTGCCCTTTCTAGGGTCAGAGCAACACAGCAACATAGAGCAAACACAGAGCATCTCAGACAGCTAGGTATCTCTCTTTGACATTAAGCAAATCATCTAATCACTATCAGAGATCTCATAGCTGCCACTGCAAAATTCAGCTCTGTACTGCACTACAGATTGCTTGCATTATAGCTTTTGTGATTTCTACTTACCCCTGAATCTGAAGGGTCTGGCAACCAGCCTAGTTCATTCTGAGCAGTGCTTGTGTCCAGAAGATTAACTGCAAAGAATAATAAGAAAAAAATTGGGACAGGCATCAGAGACTTGATATTCATATCAACCTAACCTAAAACAAGTAATTCAGGGTCACACTAAAGGGCTACATGGTCCAGCGTTCTGTTCTCTCCAGAGATCAAACAGGTGCTTTAAAGGAAGTCCATAAGCATTACATGGAGGCAATATCAACCCTACTGATCAAGTTCCCCATCGATGGTTATTAAGAGGCAATACTAGAAACAAAATGTAGTTGTGGGAGTTTGGTCAGGATGATCCTTAGAATCTTTTAAGAAGTGACCTTTAACACCTATTAGTTCCTGTAACATTCTCAATTGTAGATAGTGCTGACATAATGATTATATTAATAAAAATGTTATTACAGAGTCAAAGACCTGCAAATAGATAAAAATAGCTGTAGCCGCAAAGGCAGCTAACATATGTCATACCCTGAAAGTGACTAATAGTAAGGCAAAGGGGAGAAAACTAAATCTGGCTCTTCAAAAAGCATAGCAGATTTTGGGTCTGATTAGGTTGTTCAAGTAATTATCATGTCCTTTGTTCCAATTATTAAGGACTACAGTGGAAACTAGGACAGGTTTATGAGCCACTGAGTAAGAGTATTGGAAATCAGTACTCCTGATCAAGGATGGGTCCTGCTTGGCAATACTCTGCAATACTTGCAGAGAGAAGAAGCAAAGCTAAAGGTCTAAACATGGCAGTTTTGAGCTTATGCCAGGTGCAATGGTAGCTCTCTTCTCTAAGATAATACAGTAGACCACGCAAGAAATATGCATATCCAGCACGGTGGATTTACATTTGGGAGAAAGAAAACCAACCTCTAACAGGAGGGCAGCAGAAGGATAAATTTAGACATACCAAGAATGGAATGGAAACCGCCCCCCCCAGAGATATCTTGCTCCACGGTTGAATTAAACCCCCAATCCATAGTGAAACAATTGGAGTAAGCCTTTAGCTTTAAATACCTGTGCAGAAACGGAAAGAAACTGTCCAAACTTGATAAGAAAAAAATGAGCCTTGAGACTACTAGGGGCAAATTGAACTGCATAAATTCTATGGGCAGCCCAAGAAAGAGAACATTATCAAATATTTTGAATTGAAATGATTCTCACATCTCCCAATTTTTTGAATGGCTGGGTTTGCCTATGGGTTGTCCTCTAATGAACGATTTATACAAACATACACTTATTTTTTAAAGGAAAGAACATTATTTTAGATTTACTGAAATTATCGGTAAAATAAATGCTAGAACAATAATCCATAAATGCACATACCTTCAGGTATATATTTGTTAGCATCAATTGCCCATAGGAACAATGGAAATCTAAGCGTTAAGAGTTTTGTGTTCTCCAGTTTTGGAGAAAGGAAGTCTGAGGCAAAAATGCCAGCCTAATGAAGCCCTTTTCTGACAAAAATAGGGTGAATCAAAATTGTCTTCTTTTCTACAACTCACTCTAATAGTAGATTCTAGATAAAGAGAGATAACTAAATAGAAAAGTCTTTAATCACCAGAAGTAATGCTAAATTTAGGCCCAAATCCCCTTGTGACAGAATAAAAGAATCTTGGCCAGGAGATGCTATGCATTTTTCTGCCAGAGATCTAACAGTGGTCAATTGCTGATCTGTTTCTCCTAAACCAACTTGCTCTGGGCCCAGCACATTTTTGACTTTCAGCCAAGAAACCAATTCCATGTTTCCATTAACATAACTAACATATAAATGACCAACCACAGATAGATCTATCACTGGAAAGATCTAATCTAATATCTTTTTAACAAATTGGTCTAATAGTTGCTTGTGACCAACATCCTCTTTGTAAATTTCAGAAAAAAAAACCTGTTAAGAAGGGGACCATTCTTCACATTATTTGACATCTGATGACTGCATCTCCCACATTGTAATAACTAATATTTGATGGCATTTGACAGCTGATGAAATCAATATTTGCAGAACATTCCAGGGAGTGATAGAGGGGTAAATACCACTGGCTTTAGAACCACCTGCAAAGGAAGGAAGGAAGGAAGGAAGGAAGGAAGGAAGGAAGGAAGGAAGGAAGGAAGGAAGGAAGGAAGGAAGGAAG